GCGGCGCACAAAAGACTCCATCGCGAGCGCCAGCGCGCCGCCCTCCGCCGCCTCCTCCAGCCGGTCGAGGAGCGTCTTCCCGGCGGACTCGTACGCCGTCGGGCTGTGGGCGGCGTCGGGCTCGTTCTTTGCGCGCCACGAGGCGGCGCGGCTGGCGGGTGCGGGCCTAGGGGGACGCGTCCAGGACGAGTCCTCGACGCGACACTTTGCGCGCGGCGCGGCGGCGGACGCCTCGCCGGTTGTAGTGCATCCCGACGTTTGCGACGAGGATGTCCGCCCCGGAGGCGGCGGCGGCGATGCGGCGCGAGAATGCGGCGGCCGTCCCGCACGCGCCCGCCTTTGGCTTGGCGAAAGGTCCGTCCGTGCGGTAGAAGCGGATCGTCGCGTTCGCACGCCGCACCCAAATCTCCTCGTCGGGCAGCTGCCTGCGGAGGGCCTCGATCATGTGACACAGTACTATGCAAGGCGGCGTCCAGATCTCGTCGGGAAGCTGCCTGCAGAGCGCCTCGAACGCCTTCTTGCCAGAGGTGCCGTTGCACGAGAGGAGCGAGCACCGCCGCGCGCCTAATCCTCGCGAGGACGCGCGCGTGAGCGAAGCACACTCGCTCGCACGCGCACGGACGGACGCACGCCACTCACCCGGCTCGAGCCGGAAGCGAGCGGTCGAGCCGCCCGTCCTCGGCCGGTCGCCGGCGGTGGTCCGCTCCGAGCAGACGGCGTCCTGCGCGTAGTGGCGCGCCTCGAGGTTGTGCTCCGCGCGTCGCCGCGTGATCTCGCTCACCTCGCCGGCGGCGTCGAGGCGCGCGCCGAGCATGTCGAACATCTGATTCATCGTCGAGTCTCCAACCAGAGAGAGCGTGCGGCCGTGGAGAGCGGAGAGCAGGCGAGGCACAGAGACGATGCGACCGTCGCAGGTCTCGTGCCTCAGCCGCGAGATGGCGCTCTGTTGCCACCGTTCGGAGCAGCATGCCCAACGCATCTTGTCAGGCGGCGTGTACGTCGAGAAGCGGCTGAGGTAGAGCGGGCACTGGTCAGTGCCGGAGAGCGCGAGAATGCGCGCCAGGTCGTCCTTCGGGGAGAAGGGCGCTGCGTCGTCGTGCGCCGGGTTGGGAGGCAGGAATTCGACACGTGCGGGCTCCTCGCACAGCATCGTAGGTGTTGGTCAGTGCGGGCACGGACAGTGTCTCCAAGTGCTCCAAGTGCATCGTGCAGCGGCAACACTTTCTCGTGTTCGAGAAAAGAAAAACAAGCCCACAGAGTGTAATGGCCGCTGGGCTACACTGAGTTCGAGAAAAAAGTCGTGAAGTTAATCGACGTTAAACAACAA